GAGAAATAAGTGTTGGACAGATGTTGGCAGATTAACTCAAAGCACATGTTTGATTTGAATGAGTTGTAACCAAGCATTTATCGGGTAGATCCTGGTTGCATTTTGATTTGTGATTTTTCATTTCATAAAGTTTATTATGAATTACTTTGTCTAGAAATATTTATATTTTGTTTAAATTTTCATTTATACTCAAGAAATTGTCTATGTGAATGTTTTTTGGTCGACTTGAAAAACTCTTATTTTATAAATTCAGATGTAAGCCTATTAAGTTTTCATGATTAAACATATTTCATAGAAAGGAAAGTTCTCCTATTTGTGTTGTTCGTGTTTTATTTCCGTTGTAACTCTTTAATTCTACCACTTCCTTGCATCATTATTAACTCAATTCATGTCGAATAATAAATAATAAGATGGAATTACCTGAAATAAGTCACCAATGATGACATCAAAGCTGTGGATTAGGTTTAATGCTAACCCATTTTCCATCTTTCACCATTTGCAACCTCAAACCTGGTCTGGCACATATTGTGAGGAAGTCACTATCAGTATGTGGAACTAACCCATAGATCTCAGAAGATATTGGCATCGGGATATCTATTCATTCTCAGATCATGAATCTGCCATGCAATTTTTTGCAAAGAAAGTGGTTTTGCTGCCAAGATTCTTCTGCAATATTCGTTATTCTTTTGCTAGCTCAGAAGCCACTTCTGCAAATACTGCAATTTGTTGTGCTGCAAATAAGATGAGATCCAAAATAATCAAGGAAGGCAACAGATTTACTTACATTTAACACATGTTTTTTATATTATAACTAAATTGTAGCCGTATTATATAAAGATTCATTGCAATCACAATAATCATACCATGGTCGGCATTAGCTAGTAGGCTGTGTCTCATAGGCCAATGTTCAGCCCAGCGTGCCAGCTGAGGCTAGCTTAACAGGCCGAGATCAAGCATGTATTTTGAATTTTATATTATTTTTTTTAAATTTTTCATATTTTTTGTTAGGCTTGTGTATCAGGGTTCAGGCCTAACTTGCATTTGCTGACGAGATAACCAACAGGCAATATGGGTTTTAATTCATACACCCAAAAGGCCATACAAGTCTCATTCGAGTTGAGCTATCCACCAAAAGTACAGACTTGGCTAGTCCTTGACTTTCAGATCAAAATGATAACTTACAA